TTTTTCTTACTTAGCACAGTTCGGAGGTGGAGGGCAAACCAGCTACCGAAATTGACCCTAGTCCGAGTGACCATGCACCAAACGAGAAAGAACTCGAGCTTGGTCAGAGTACCCGAGCTATCCTTCCTACCTGAGAAACTATAGGCCATGAATCTATGTAAATAACGGTAGGCGGCGCTCTTAAGATAAGAAGCCTTAGACTGACTGGGGTCATAGCAGTGTCGGTCAACCGACAAATCTCTCCAATAATCAATGTAATGAGAGAAAAATGGCTCCGTATACTCGCACACACTGTGCATATACTCCTCACTCTGGGAGTAGGGAATATCAATGAACCCAAGAGCCAAATTAAATTCAGTTATAGATTGGGTGAACTCTCTACCCATTAATCGAAACCTCACTACCCCAGGAGTGGTAACGGAGAATTCATCAGGAATATTAAACTCAAAAGTAGCATAAAATTCTCACGTCAGTTCAGTGAAAGCAGGTAAAACGATAGAAGCATAGCTGGTCCAGCCTACGCTAGTCAAGTGCAGCGTGACCTCATCCCTCAGGTTTAGCATATCAAGTATAGGGCCATGGATGTATTTACAAGGAATAATCTTCCTTGTGCAAGCCGAGGCATACCGCTCCTTGTCGGCAGCCCGGGTGAAGGTCAAATTGCCGCTAAAGTGGGCCGTGAGGAGATATGAACCTCCCTATTCCGTCCAAGGCGGGTACGAGGCTCTCCAGGCCCAGTCGATGGGACAGGTCCACTCAAGGAGACTGTAGGCTGTGGGGTGGATGTGGATGGCTTGTTCTTGCCTTTAGTTTTTGGTTTGGTCATTTGGTCTATTGGATAGGGCAGAGGCAAGGCAAATGTGCACAAAAGAGGTCAACAGGCAGCTGATTCAGTAAAAGGTCCCAATCACAGCTTCCAATCACAGACAAGTGCACAACCAAACAATAAAATTACCCCAAAAGCTAAGTAGTACTGTGAGCAGCAAAATTTCCCAAACACTACCAATTTGACCCAAAAAGTAATTAATCATAATTAATCAAATAAACAGAGCAAAAACCCCCTCAAAAACTAAATAAAGAGGCAACTAGAGCAAAATTTTCTCCAAATATCATTGGTTGAGCACAAAATTGACCAAACAATCAACAATCCACCACAGATATATCACAGCACCCAAACAAGCACAAAATATCTGTCCTCAGCTAGCAAATCAAAAATCTGGCCTCAGCTACGAAATTAAAATTTGGCGTCAGCTAATAAAGACTAGTAATCTGGCCTCAGCTACTTAGTGACAGAAAATTAAAGAAAGAAATCACCAGGGGGAAGGAATAACCGGTAGTTGCCATGGGTGGAAAAGAAAAAGAACGCAGGTGGGCGCGGCGCTTGGCGGATGATTGCGCACCTTGCGCAGCTGGTTTTGATCCGTGCGCGCGGTGGGAAGGCAGCTGGTGGCTGGTGAAGCTGCGCGCACAGTGGGCGCCTGCGGCGTTGCTGCTCGCTGTTGCTGGTCTGGGCTGCTGTTGGCGCAAGACGAGGCGCACGGATGGGTCGCGCCTGCGGCGGCGCGCAAAAACTGCGCTCCTGGCTGCCGGTCAAGAGCGCGACTGGACTGGACGGCGTGCGATGGGTTGCCAGGCAGAGTCGCGCGTGCTGGGGGCTCTGGCCGCTTGCTGCTCTGGAAGTGAGCTGGAGTCGCGCGCCTGCCGCTGCTGGTTGCTGCGGTTGCTGGTGCGCGATCTGCCAGATCGCTTGGCGGCCCGGCGTGCGGAAGGGGTCTCGCGCGGCTGGTGCAGGGGCGAGGCCCGCGGTGGGCAGCGACGCGATGGGCGGCGGCAGTTCTGGCTCTGGTGTGGGGCGGCGGCGGAAAGCAAAAGAAGGGAAAGAAGAAAAGAAAGAAAAGAAGGAAGAAGAAAGAAAGAAAGAAGGGAAATAGGGCTACGGGTCCTTGAAAAAAAAAATTTCCTTTCTTCCTTTTGTCGTTCGGGGGCAATTTGGTCTTATCAATATATATATATATATATATATTTTTTTTTTTCAAAGAATCTCTAGCTTAGGCGTGGGCATGCCTAACCGCTCCCTAGTCTTTTGACCACCCGGCGAAAATTCTGGATCCGTTAGCGTGACTACCTAACGTGGGCACGTCTAACTGCTATAGAGTCCGCAGATTCTGAACGAAAATTTCTTTCCCTCAGGCGTGACCACCTGGCGTGGGCACATCTAACTGCTATAGAGTCCGCAGATCCTAAACGAAAATTTCTTTCCCTCAGGCGTGACCACTTGGCGTGGGCACGTCTAACTATTAATTTTCTGCCACCAAACATCAAGCTATTAATTGACACTAACACTTAACTAAAACTTCAAAAATGAATGAAAACTGAAACAAATAGTCTTGGGTTGCCTCCCAAGTAGCGCCTTTCTTTAATGTCTTTGGCTAGACATGGCCAAAACCCTCAAGCAAGATAAAGTGAATCTTGGAGGTGTACAACTTCTACTTCTTTAATAAAGAACCCCTCATAATAAGGCTTTAGACGATTGCCATTCACCACGAACTTTTTCTCCGTTTTCAAACTTTGGATCTCCACTGCACCATAATGAAACACATTAGAAACGACAAATGGACCAATCCAACGAGAATGTAACTTACCAGGAAAGAGTTTAAGCCTTGAGTGATACAAGAGAACTTTTTGCCCCACTACAAAAGATTTTCTTGAAACCTACTGATCATGAAAGATTTTACTCTTTTCCTTATAGATCGTGGCATTCTCATACGCTTCATTTCTTATCTCCTCTAACTCTTGTAGCTGCAATTTCCTCTGAACCCCCCCGCTACTCCTAGGTCCATGTTGCATTGCTTCACTGCCCAGAACGCCATGTGTTCGAACTCCACCGGGAGATGACAAGCCTTACCGAAGACAAGTCTGTAGGGGGACATCCCAATAGGCGTCTTATATGCGGTTCTGTATGCCCATAATGCGTCTTCTAGCTTTAAACTCCAATCCTTCCTATCCGGACGCACCATCTTCTCCAAGATCGACTTAATTTCCCTGTTTGACACTTCGGCTTGACCGTTTGCCTGCGAGTGACACGGTGTGGATACCTTGTGGAGCACGCCATATTTTCGGAACAGGACAGTGATAGTCTTATTACAAAAATGTGTCCCCCTATCACTTACCACAGCTCTTGGCATTCCAAAGCGGACAAAAATATTAGATTTTAAAAACTCTGCAACAACTCTAGAATCGTTAGTACGGGTGGCTTTGGCTTCCACCCACTTGGAGACATAATCAACCGCAAGTAAGATATATAAGAATCCAAAAGATGATGGGAAGGGACCCATAAAATCTATCCCCCAAACATCAAAAATTTCAACAAACAACATGGGGGTCTGAAGCATTTGATCCTTACGAAAAATATTTCCCACCCTTTGACACCTATCACAGGATTTACAAAATAAGTACGAATCCTTAAAAAGGGTGGGCTAGTAAAAACCACTCTCTAACACTTTGCGAGCTGTTCGCTTGGGCCCAAAATGCCCTCCACATGCAAATGAATGACAGAAATTTAAAATAGAGTGGAATTCACCTGCACTTACACATCTTCTTAGAACTTGATCTGAACATTGTCTCCACAGGTACGGGTCGTCCTAGATGTAATATTTAGCATCACTCTTCAACTTGTCTCTCTTAGCCTTTGGCCACCCTGCAGGCAATTGATTAGTCACTAAAAAGTTTACTATATCAGCATACCAGGGTGTAGACGAGTTAATGGCAAGTAGTTGCTCCTCTGAAAATGCCTCCCTCAATGGTGGCTCCTCCTTATGAGCAAGCAAGCAGCTCAAGTGATCAGCGACTAAGTTTTCTGCCCCACTTTTATCCTTAATCTCCAAGTTGAACTCTTGAAGAAGCAGGATCCATCTGATGAGCCTTGGTTTAGCGTCCTTCTTCGTCATCAAGTACCTTAAGGCTGCATGATCAGAAAAAACTATTACTTTCGCACCTAACAAATAAGGTCTAAATTTTTCTAATGCAAAAACCACAACAAGTAATTCTTTCTCTGTTGTAGAGTAGTTGAGTTGAGCTCCATTCAACGCTTTTGATGCATAGTAGATTGCATGTGCAGCCCTGCCAATCCGTTGCCCCAGCACCGCTCCCACTGCATAGTCACCCGAGTCACACATTATCTCAAACGGGATGCTCCAGTCTGGAGGTTGGATAACAGGTGGTGATGTCAATGACTCCCTCAATCTGTCAAATGCCACCTTGCACTCCTCGGTGAAGTCATATGCTACATCTTTTTGCAACAGTTTGAACAGGGGCGCTCCAATTTTGGAGAAATCTTTGATGAATCTCCTGTAGAACCCTGCATGACCCAAAAAGGAGCGCACCTCCCGCACACTTGCGGGGTAAGGTAAAGCAGAAATAATATCGACTTTTGCCTTGTCTACCTCTATACCTCTGGCCGACACTACATGCCCTAAAACAATGCCATGATCCACCATGAAATGACACTTTTCCCAATTTAAAACTAAATTTGCCTCAATGCACCTTTTTAAAATTAAAGCTAAATTATCCAGGCATTCATCAAAACTATCTCCATAAACACTAAAATCATCCATAAACACCTCAATAATCTTTTCTACATATTCGGAAAAGATACTTACCATGCACCTTTGAAAAGTCGCTGGAGCATTACACAGGCCGAAGGGCATCCTCCGGTAGGCAAATGTACCAAAGGGGCAGGTGAAGGTAGTTTTCTCCTGATCCTCTGGGGCTATCGCAATTTGAAAATAACCTGAGAAACCGTCAAGAAAGCAGTAATAGACACGACCAGCTAACCTTTCTATCATCTGATCAATAAAAGGTAGAGGGAAGTGGTCCTTCTTCGTCACGGCATTCAGGCGTCGGTAGTCAATGCACTGACGCCATCCTGTGGGTTTCCTCACCGGGACCATCTCACCCTTTTGGTTCTCTTCAACGGTTACTCCCGCCTTTTTCGGGACCACTTACACTGGACTCACCCAAGGACTATCTGAGATGGCGAAGATGATCCCCACTTCTAGGAGTTTAAGTATCTCCTTCTTCACCACTTCCATCATCAGTGGGTTCAATCTCCGTTGCGCTTGCCTCACTGGTTTTGCATCCTCCTCAAGCCGGATCTGATGCATGCATAAAGAGGGGCTAATTCCCTTGATATCTGCTACGCTCCACCCAATCGCTTCCTTATGGTCTCGAAGAAGACGAATAAGGTCATCTTCTTGTCTTGGTGACAGGTGAGCAGATATGATGACTGGTAACGTCTCATTGTCTCCGAGAAATGCATACTTCAAGTGCTTCGGGAGAGGCTTGAGCTCCAACTCAGGTGCCTGCACAATAGAAGGTAACAATTTTGCCTGAGTTTCTGGTACAAAGAGAGAAGTAAGCTCATACCTTGGGGAGAGTGGTGGGAGCGAATGCAGTGCTCCAACAGCCCGGTATAACTCATCACTCAATTCTACATCAGGAGTTGCTCCCAACTCAAGATGTTTGGCTAATGCCACTGCCAGTGCATCAACCCCATCCAATTCAAATATTTCCTGTACAAGGGGTTCAACAACACTTAAAGCATAAACAGAGTTAGTCTCATTTGGGTACTTCATCGCATCAAAAATATTAAAATTCACAATTTTTCCATCAAACTCCATCGACAAAGTACCCTCATTTACATCTATTTTCGTCCTAGCAGTGCTTAAAAATGGCATACCTAACAAAATAGGAGACGGATTTAGTGCCCTTTCATCCCCCATGTCTAGGACATAGAAATCTGCAGGAAAAACTAACTCATTGACCTGCACCAAAACATCTTCAACTAACCCTTCCGGGTAAGCATTGGTACGGTCTGCAAGTTGGATTATAATGTCTGTGCCTTTTAATGGTCCAAGATTAAGGGACGTATAAATTGTTTTAGGCATTACATTGATTGACGCCCCTAAATCCAACATTGCCTTCCTAATCGAGGCACCTCCTATCTTGCAGGGAATGGTAAACATACCTGGGTCTCCACATTTTGGTGGGAGTTTCTTTTGGAGCATGGCTGACACGTTTTCTCCCACCGCCACTCGTTCATCTCCCCTTAACTTCCTCTTATGGGTGCACAAGTCCTTCAAAAATTTGGCATATTTCGGTATCTGCTTGATTGCGTCCAGTAAGGGGATGTTAATCTCTATTTTCCTGAACACATCCAAAAGTTCTTTTTCCTTCTCTACTTTCCTTGTCTTCGCCAACCTGGAGGGAAAAGGAGGTAAGTTAGATGTAGTAGTGGGTGGAGAAGTGAAGGTTACCTTAGGATCTTCTCGGATACGTCCTTCCTCTTCAATTTCCTTTTCTATCTCCTCCTCACTTTTGCTTTTTGAATTTTTCACTTTAGGCTCTTCCAGTTCCTTGCCACTCCTCAGTGCCATAGCACTTACATTCCTAGGATTCACCTCGGGTTGAGATGGCAATTTTCCATGAGCGTGGGACTCCAGGCGATTTATCGCAGTTGCCAATTGGCTTATTCGAGCATCCATATCCTTCATGCCTGCTCTGGTATCCTGCTGGAACTGAGTGGTGCTCAGGGTTAAGGCTCTAGTTTCTTGCTGGAGTTGAGCCATATTCGTGGTCAATGACCTAGTCTCCTGCTGGAGCTGTCTAGTCTCTTGCTGGATCTGGGCGGTAGTCGTAGCCAGACTCTTGACAATATCCTCCAGAGAGCTACTTGAATTTGCGGATGAAGGTTGAGGATTTTGCTGCCATGGTTGCTGAAACCCTGGTGGGCGATTTGAGAGTGAATTTTGCGATCGGTTCCCATAACTGAAATTGGGATGGTCTCTCCAACCGGGGTTGTATGTGTTGGAATACGGGTCATACTGCCTGCGGGGCGTGGGCACGCCTCCGGCCATGTTTACCTGTTCCGCCCCGTCCTCTTGCAAAATGGGGCACGTGTCCGTGCAATGGCCTATGCTAGTGCAGATTCCACACACCTTCGCTCGCGGTGTGTCCCTCATGGCTAATTGCCTAACAGCAGACGTCAACTCTGACAGTTGCTGCTGTATGGATGAAGTCTCTACCTCGTTGACTCTACGGGCAGGGTTGCTCTCACGGAAGCCAAATTGTTGGGAGTTCTCTGCCATGGCTTCGATCAGGTCTCATGCTCCCTTCGGTGTCTTGTTCGCCAGGGCTCCTCCACTCGCAGCGTCAATAATACTCCTGTCAGTTGACTGGAGCCCTTCATAGAAGTATTGGATCAATAGTTGTTCACTAATTTGATGCTGTGGGCATCTAGTGCACAACTTGTTGAACCTTTCTCAATAGTCGTACAAGGACTCCCCGGAGTACTGCTTGATACTGCATATTTCCTTTCTCAAACTCGCAGCCCGGGATGCGGAGAAGAATTTTTCTAGGAATTTCTTTTTCAATTGTGCCCACGTGGTGATACTACCTGCAGGTAGGTAGTATAGCCAATCCTTCGCTGCATCCTTGAGAGAGAAGGGGAAAGCTCTAAGTCTTATTTGCTCCTCGGTGACCCCAGGAGGTTTCATGCTAGAGCAAACCACTTCGAACTCCTTGACGTGTTTGTGAGGTTCTTCACCAGAAAGACCATGGAACGAAGGTAGGAGCTGAATCAACCCCGATTTCAGCTCGAAGGAGGTATTCTCAGACAGAGTTGGGAAAGTGATGCACAGGGGCTGGTGAGTCAACTCCGGGGTAGCCAACTCCCTTAATGTCTGGGTGTTGGCCATGCTAAATTCGTCTTCTACTGACTCGTTTTCAGAAGATAAGTGCCCTTCTTTTTGTCTCTTGGTCTCTTGCCTTCGCCAACGTGCTGCCTTCTCAACCTCAGGATCGTATATCAATTCACCTGTGCGAGAAGAACGGGGCATAAACTAGCAAAAATACCAAGAAAAATAAAATAAAATAAATAAATAAAACTGAACTAAAAAAGAAACAAATAATTCAGACGCCAGTCCCCGGCAAAGGTGCCAAAAATTGACAGGTGCCGAACCTATGCAATAATAATAAATAAAACCTAACTACCACCTAAAACAGTCAATAATCAATTCGAGTACTGGAGCAGGGACTCTAGGTGTGCAATGGGTTACTTGATTCACCCTATTCCCGAAGAGTTTGCTTAATCCGATATACCTGAATTAATTATTTAACTGAATTCACTAACTAGTAGACAGTGGTAAGTAGGGTCGTCTCCTCAGGGACTGGAGAGAAATTTATTCCTTTTCGAATCAAGACAAATGGGGGGATTTCACGATTGAATGCTAAAAATAAAGTAACTACAGAAATAATTAATTTAAAGAAATAATTGGAGAAACTCTAGCCAAAGGTACACTTCAGAAATGGTTCATGCACTGATCATCGAATCACAGATAATTCCAACATTTATTAATAGATTGGTTATAGTTGTCTCGCACGCGCTGAACAACCAACCCTTCCTTAATTTATCGATAACTAAGGTACGACCGTTAGCTATTTCTCTAACCCAAAAACAACCCTAGGTACGACCATAGGATTTAATTTCTAGATTGCATTAATAATTAGAAAGGCCCAATCCTAACTAACAAACACGCTACGAGGGTTTGTTTAAACTAGATCGTATGCTCCCCTGCCATAAACCCAATTACGCCAGTTGCTACTAAGGTAGAGATAACGAACAATTACGGATTCAATTACCTCTATTTAGCAAAATAGCCAATATGAATAATTAATTATTGCGCACTAATCAATCATACATAAGGACTATAACAATTAAAAACAGGAAGCATATAAATATCAATAAATGAAGAAAATAATTAAAAATAATTTAGATCTCACAGTAGTTATTGAACCAATTCGTCAGTTGCCCCTCGACTAGAATTAGAGAATTAGCCCTCCATTAATGGAGGACAGACCACGCGGGGATGATTTGGAAAGGTTGCCGAATCGGATCCTTCACTTCCGGTCAATGACCGAAGACAAGAACAAAGAGATTGATTACTCTCGATGGTTTCCAGAGCCCAAATGTACGAAAAGTTAAATTGCTCCCTTCAATTGTATCGAGCAGGGGAAAAAAGCGTTAACTGCAAATCACAGTGGCGGCTGGCCTTTTATTGACTTTTTCCCGAATTGCTTACAGAGACACACGAGAATGTCTCTTTCCTTCCTTCTTCAATTTCGGTCAAAGCTAAATTGACAAACGAATCAAAGGTCCACAATTGCAGCTAGCTTTTTCTTTCTTTGTTAGCAATGCATACGCGAGAAAGGTTTCAATTGTTTTATTCCTCAATTTGGTCCAGACTCATGAAAAGCTCACAAGCATCCCCAAAGTCAACAAAAGTGGCTATTGTCTGCTGCCTTTTTCTCTGCAACGCTGCGGCCCTCCTCTCTCATTTCAGAGCAAGTTTTTTTTTCCTAAACCTAAGCCGCCCAAGAGATAATGCCATCCCCAATAGCCGAAAATTGTTACTTGTTCCAAAATTGCAACCAGACTCCCTCTAAATATATTAAAATAAAATCTATTACAATTAGATTTCTTCAACTTCTCAAGCGGGCCCCACGTCCGATGAATCTTCTAAAAGTTGAATTTAAGCACTTTTCAGCATCCATTCCTGCAATTAGCACCAAAACAAAATATCAGTAGAATCCACCCAATTAAGAAAAATATTTAGTCAATTAATTGTGCAATAATGCCCAAAATACCCACTAAAATGCATCCTATCAATTGATATGAAACTACCTAATTTAATTGCTCAAATTAAAAATAAGACAATCGCAGATAAAATAAATAACAATAAATAGAAAGTAAATTAACGGAAGGAAAATCTCTAGTCAAAGGTATAATCTCCACTAATGGTTCGAATCATTGATCACAGATGCAGAGATAAAATCTTTCATTTACAAATAAACTGGTTATGGTTGTCAACAAGCTCTGACAACCTGCCTAACCTTCCTGATTCGATAACCACAACAAGCTCTGTGGTTATTGCCCTAGCCAATTAAGCAGTCCTAAACATGCTCTTAGGATTTAACCTATTGACAGCATTAATTATTAGACTGGCCACCAATTATAACCAACAAACACACACGCTCGGTTTATTTAGGCTATATCATATATTTCCGCAACAACAATTCAAAAGTTTCTACTACAATTGAATCATGTCACTTGCCACATGCACTAAAATTACCCAACAATTACGGATTGAGCACTCTTAGATGGCTGTTAATTACTCACACAATTAAACAGTGATCAAGTATTTAATTGCAAGAAATAATCATATGCATAAGTGAACAGGAAATATATAAATACATGCAAATTAAAGACGTAGGCAAATCAATTCGATCTCACAGTTTTGTCGAACCAAAGCTTCGATTAACCTCTGACTAGATGAAGAAATTAGCCACTCCTCATAGTTGAATTGCAGCCAAAAGTACTACTCGAGTTCTTAATTGAAAAAGGAAAATAAATTGGGAAAAGGAAGGAAAAACGGAACGGAACAGAATGGCCTGCGTTAATTTTCAGAGTCTTCTCCCCTGCCGTTTTCTTCTTTTTCTTTTTTCTAATCTCTTCAGTTGAACCAGAGGTCTTGTTTTACCTAGCGTCCCCCCCAGGGCTTCTTTAGCGTTTCTTTCTTTTCTTTCCAAAAATGGGCCTCGTGTGCAATTGAAGCTCAATGGGATGCGGGCTTTGTACTGCATCAGTTGTACTGTTCTTTGCTGTAAACTAACCAAAAGCAAAAGCCCAAAACGCTTGCTAACTTGATGCAGTAACAATCATCAACACCCCATCATCCCTGATGTAGCGGTTTTCAAGTATCAACTAAGAAACTTGTATCAAGATTTTCTTAATGGAATTTCCTCAATTAGGCTTCAATTTCTCCTTTTCTGCCTCAATTGACTTGAAGTTCCTAGAAATCACACAAAAATTCAAATATAAGTAGAATCTAGCAAATTATCACAACATTTGGTCAAAATAAAGGGGAAAATATTAACAAATAAACTGCCTAATTTGCGCATTAACAAATTCCCCCACACCAAGACAATGCTTGCCCTCAAGTATTCACTACCCAAAAATCACAGTCAAGATCACAAATACTTGAATAGCTCCATAAACTTGCACAAGTGTCACATCTTCTCAACAATTTCACCAAAATGAGGATGTTAAAAACTTGACAAACCTCACATGGATAGCAGTGTATACACTCAACCACTCAAAATATGGAAAGGATGTTTATATCACTCAAATCAACAACATAGAATGATTTTACCATATGCTTGCTAATATATCAAATCTCCACCACTTTAATGAACTTGATACAAAAATCAAAGGGTCTTTTATTAAGGATGTAATGGGGCTTGGGTTAAATGTTAGACAAAATGGACCTTTAGGCTAATAATATCAAAAGAAATACCAATAGCTCATTGCATGAAATGAATCGCCCTTTTTTTTTCAATCCCCTAACTCCAAGGCACATCAACAATCGAAGCCAACTCTACATAAGAACCTTCACACAGGCATCAACCCAACTTTCTCAACACTACTACAAGGACACTTCCATATTTTTTTTGTTTTTTTGTTTTTGTCTTTTTTTTTTGTGCAGCAAAACATAACTAAACTTGAAAGATAAACACAACTGCCAAATCCTTGTAGCAATACTTGATAATTTTCACGCAATAAAACTCAGGCATCCTTTTGACTCAAGGTTCAATAATAAAGTTCAAATAAAAAGGCTTAGGGTGCAAATTTGGGTATCAGACAAAGAAACAGTCAAGGCTCAGATTGGTTAACTAGGTGAAATATGATCAAGGTAGGCTTTTAGAAAGTCAAAAGGGGTTAAACCTAATTGCCCTCCTCATATTAATGCCTCAAATTCAAACGTGGTCTCGACATGCATAACAAAGCAAGTTCTAGAATATCAAATCATGTGTGATATCACTCATTCAAAGCAAATAGAGCAATTATAAATGTAATGCTCATTAGGCCCAAAAGCTCACAAAAAAAAATGAAAATATGTCAAATTTTTAAACACCCTTCATTTGAATCAATAGTCAAGAAAACACATTACTTGCACTAGCAATAGAATACCATTCACACTTCCATCTTGACTGAATCAATACGAATCTCAAAAAGTCTTGAAAAATCAGA